TTATTTCTGGAGAACGGCGACATGAGGCTTCAATTTTATTACAAAAAAGGCTAAAATAAAAAACTGTCCTTTAACTTCTGTAATAAAAAGTTCTTTTCTTCTTACTGACTTTGCAGTCAGAAGCCGGGCAGAAGGCCACCAAACGATAAAATAAACATCACATCATCGTATGAGACGAAAAGAAAGAGGCAAAAAAGGCAAAAGAAAACACATAATATGCCTACAAACAGCTGTCTAAACCAGATGCAAAAAAGGAACAAAATCCCCAGAACAAGGACACTTTTTGAGTAGAATCCACATAAATCAGTATAACTGAGAAGAGACGCGCCGGGAACTGCAGAAAAGAAAAAAAGGGAAAAAGATAGCTGCCAAGCAGATCAGTGGCTGCAGGTATTTTGTTTAATGTTTCGAGTGCTTGCTCAGGAAACAGTGAAATGCAACGAAATTACAAATAATGACTTTTTCTGTTTAATTGTGAAGCGAATAATCTCTCCTTTGAAATGATGAACTTCACAATCCTTTGAAAGAATTTAATACAGCGATTTTACATTAAAATTAAATTTAGAAAAGTGCAAACAGAGTTGCCAAACAGTGACAGATTTAGCATAAAATGCAAATCCTTTTTCCTGACTCCATCAGATTAACTCTATATTTATTCCTCACCACCTCTTCACAAAAAAATACAATTTTTCTTCAATTTTTCAATAACAGATCAAAAAACAACATTAGAAATTTATTTCCTAGAGCAAAGAGAGTTCTGTTGCTATCCTTCATCAGTATCATCAAGAGTACGCTGGAAAAGAAAAGAAATAAAAACAATTTAAAAAAAGCACTGTAGAACCTGAAATAAGCAAAAATAAATGCAACATTTCAACGAGAGGAATAAAAGCATCCTCTGCTTCATTGAAGGCCACTTTTTCAGCCGAACTAGCGAACTTGACAAACAGAAGCCTGCAGCAGGAAAAAGGAAGGGTATAAAGTTGGATAATACGCTGACCTCTTTCTCAGTATTCTCACTATTAGCTTCCATTGGTGGTTCTATTACAGTTGCTGTTAGTGGCGAAACATCCTTGATTTTTGTGCTATCGCAAAGCGTCTTTTCGCACTTTTCTGATGCTACAGGTAACTGTAAACGGGAACTCGCACTGTTCCGTGAATGACGGTAATTCATCCTTTTAACTTCTCGGTCAGACTCCGTAACCTTTTTCACTTGACTCATTCGACTGAACTTTCTAATCCTGTTTCTTCTGATGCGAAAAGTAAAACTGAAACGGAAAATGCATCTTTCCTTTTTCAAAAATTTTAAAACCGGATACGAGCCAAAAATATGCTCAACAGTAGTTCACTCAGCACAGTATAAAGTGATCAAAACATAGCCATAACGGTTCCGAGCAGTTACAAAAACTGTCATATACGGTAAAAATTTGCGCTTCAGACGATACCGGCAAACTTAAGGTTGTAACAACTATGCCAGACACAGAAGTTAAGTTTAAGTAAACACTGTCATCGAAAGTGAAGGTCTTCTGTCTTATTAGTTTTTTTTTTTCATCCAAATTCAATTAGTAACCAACTGTTTCAGACAACGCTGATTTAGTTCAAACGTAACGAAACGTCGTTGTCCGATGAAAAAAGAACTGAAGTACTAGAAATAGCCCCTTCAAAAAACGAAGGTGACTTAACCAAGAACATTTGTTCCATCTGAAAACCTTGACAAAGCAATTTTAGTATTAGTAATACGATTGACAACTTTTAGTTTCTTCGGTTACAGCTGTCTACTATCAGTGCAAGATAATTAGCACTATTTAAAGTTATTCGCAGATGATAAACTGCTTAAATTACTGCACATTATAACCAAAAGCAGCATAACAGAGCCGGTATATATTGAAAAATTTAGTTTTTAAAAGGTGGATAGGGAAATTTAAAAAGGTCAGTCTAAACTGATAAATTTAAGCAATGTTTAGCAGCTCTCTACTCAAAACAATATCAAACATATTTTCGTGGATTAATGTTAGAAATTGCTATTATCATTGTGGCACTCTAAACAAATAATAAATTCTTCTACACTCTCTTACTTTTACAAAACTGATAACATATCAAATATTCGGTTCCACATTATTTGAAAACAAATAAAAATTTTTTGTTTTCCAAATAAACATCATGATCCTGATGACTTTACTAGATATTTTATAAGTCATACAGATTACTGAAGCGCAAAAACCCAAATTAATGTCAACTCGTGGTAAAAAAACAGTTGAAGGAATATCTGTTTGCCAATAATTTTTCATGAAGCCAGAAAGACAGTCAAGACAAACAACAGCTTTCGGAACCAAAAGTATAACACAGTTGCATCAAAACCATAAATTTTTTTAGTATTTCTAACACTCAGTACGTATTGTCTACCGTCACAGTTTTAGCGAGAACTGGGGAGACAGTAAACTGGAAACTCTTGAAATTTTTCTGCAATAATATAGATTTATTTGGTGTTTCTTACCGTAGAAACAAAAAAAAAAACAGAAGTACTCATCTTAAAAAATCATAATTTTTACTTTGGTTATCCGCTATGACCAGTTGCCAATTAAAAAAATTTTTATATGTTGCAAATAACAAATTGGAAATTCTTGAAAATTTCTATCAAGTTTTAAGTATCAAAGCTTCGCTGAGGTAGCACAAGCTGGCACCATTGGCCTCTGTCGCGTTTACATCCGCTCCCTTTCATTCCTAATTCCTTTCAAAACACCAAACGCGCTACAGGGCTGCTGTTAATGATACGTATTGGTCACGCGGCACATCTTTTTCGGAATTATGAAATGAAAAATTTTTGCAAAAATTTTTCAAAATAAAGTGCAAATCTTTGACGCAGAATTTGTACTACATTTGTTCTATTATACAACACAAACAAACAATGAATTATAGATAGAAGGTCAGCCATACAAAGTGGTCAACGAAGTCCACTCCTCAGATAAACCAAACATCGATGAGTGAAAACCAGTGCAATTCTAATTTCTTCTTCAGCCTTAGACTCATTTGAAGCTAACCGGATCAAAGAAATAGAGCGAAAGTAAAAACCCATTATACATCCTAACCGAATCTAAGGCTGCACTGAATACGCCATATATAAACAAGTAAACATAAGAAAAATAATTTGACTTAAAATCTCATAGTTTTTTTTCCAGCTCAACTGCTTACCAATGCGATACTTTTTGAACCCGCATAATTTATTTAACTGATATCGAAATCATACAAATATGGAAAAGAGAATTTAAATGTCAAGCCAAAATTTTGTTATACTTTCATTAAATAGGCATGAAAGATTTTATAACCAGTGTAACTAAAATCGGCTTAATCCACGAGTCAAAAACTGAAACTAAAACTTGCAAAATAAGTTTTAAATACCCAAAAAATGAAACCATTTGTGTTAATAGTTCACTAAAAAATCTTCTTGTTTCCCCCATGTCCCAAACACCTCGGTTCAGGTAGCAAACAAAACAAAACAAAACAAAACAGAACCATAATCGACCACTTTTATATATCTCGCTAATGAACGACTTTTGGTTGCAATAACATCACATATGCTTTGCCCTCACCGTTGACAACTATGAATCTGAGTTAGAAAACTAGAAGCGAAGATGTGAAAAAAATCGGTCTACTTTCTTTTCAACAGTGCCTAATGATCGCTGACGGAAAAACATGGGAGTACGGAATCCTTTAAGAAAAAAGCCTTTAAGGAAATGAAAACTTCGGTTGCTAGTTCAAAAGTTCATAAAAACCTTCCCATTCTTCCTTTTTCGACCTCTCAAACTACAACAATGAACAGCGTAAGTAATCTTTCCTGAATTTAGCAAGACTAACATAGAATTCTTATCAACATCACTTTTACTGCTACGTTGGATACTTGTAGTAAGCAACTAAGGTCCAACAGTTTTAATTTCCTCTCGAGATAAACCAGTTATGAAAGAGGAAAGCAGACGTGAACAGATGTGCCTTCTCCAAAATTCTTTGGTGGCGAAGTATTAAAATTTATGTGAGTATAAAAAGTAATTCCTCGTAATACCAAAGGCGCGCTGTTCAACGTCCTGTTAAACATTGAGTCTCCTGACCCATACCATTCAGTGAAATAACAGCAATTCAGCAACAAAAACTAACGAAACGGCGATCTACAGACAAAGCGCCCCGATTTTCTTCCTCTATTTCAACGCCTGTGCTGCAGCGGAATGCAAAACAAATGAAAAAAACGACTGAAATGAAAACGAGGTTGTAAAATCAGGCAAAACGAAATCGAAAGTGAACAATACCAGAAACAAGAAAAATTGCGGTAGAAGAAAGGGGAGGGGGGCTGATTTTTCACGGCGGTTAAAAAATCGCTGAAACATCTCAGTTTTCAAGGCTACAGATTTCCCAGTCAAATAGACAGCATCAAAATTTTACAAATTTAGACAAATCTGTTGAGAAAAAACGACTGTAAAAGGGACAAAACGCATCTTAATTAACAGCAACAAAAAATCTTCTGATTTTTTTTGCTCTTCGGTTTGTCGTTAAAAGTAGTTGCAGCCACTCAGACTACTCCAGAAAGCGTTCACCACCACAACAGGATGATGCTTGTTTGATATTTTCGTTGATAACAAAAGCGACATTGAAGTAAAAGATGTCCCATTCAGAAAAGATAATCAAAAGTTACCTATCCAACGACTATACATAACTCATTAACGACCAAAAAACTAAATACACAAAAAAAAAAAAAACGTGTTTTCAAGATGACAAACAACAGTTCCAAAAGAAACCGACCGACCTATGAGGTGTCTTAATACAGTTGGAAAACTACATTGTTTTTAATGATAATCAACTAATTCCGTCCAAAATACTGTTAAATCTGACTATGTCCAGCGACAGAGCACAAGTGCAAAGAACAAATTGGGAAACCCCTGTACCGTAATGCGAATGTCGTCGATAATGTTGATTCAAGAAGTTCGGCGAACCTGCTGCATATGAAGCGGAAGTGTCGAAACTTGAGTGCTAGATAATATTTAAGCCAAAAGGGCTACGGGTTAAGAAAATTCGTGCTGTCAAAACAAACTTTCAAATTTTTCATAGGCAACTTTGTAGAAGCAACATTCAAAACGGTAACTGATCAAAATACCTCTCACCACCGTTGTTGCATTTGTTACCAACAAGGAATTTCTTTCACTAAAGTCAAAAGGCCACTACTTATATCCGACTTTCGTTGTTATTACTGCTCATTATCTAGTTTTCTTCTTTCTTTATACTGCAACTGTAAGTTAAAAAATAACAACAATTTTACTAATACTTCAGGCTGAAGATAATGTGCAAGACAAAAAAAAAAAAAGAATTTCAACAATTAAATTTCACCTTTCAAAAAGACTGCAAAAACCCGAGTTCAAGCCAGTGAAATTAATGGTCTTGCTGACGCAAAAAATGATGAATGATTTCCCTACCCTACCACAAACTTCGAGGTATTTTTTAGCGTTAGTGGAGAGCAGCCTTGCTGAAAACAATTTGGATAAATTTTAAATGTCTTAGTTTTATAAAATAAAGTTCGACCAAAAAAAATTAAAATTCTTTGTCGATCAAATACAATTACTTGACGGTGGCTATCAAGAGAAAGAGATTAACCAAGAGAAGAGTACAGAAATTAAATTTCCTAAGTTCTCGATTATCCAAGAAAAGCACTTTGTTGTTTCTCCCAGTAAAAGTCTAGTCGAATAAGAAGATATGAGCAGAAAACCTCCAAATCCTGAATGTCAGATAAGTTCTGCATCAAAACATTAACTGCCAAATAAGCAATGTTGGAAGGACAACGATTAAAATAATATACAAAACAATCAGAGACGAGGTATGTTTGTAAGTACGAAAGAAATAAAACATAAAAAGGTAACAAGCAAATGCTTCAAAAAAAACTTAAAAATTAGTCATGTTCAGACGGGAATGAGTAAAATTGATAACAATGATTAGAAAGGCAATAGAAATGAAAAGCAAACTTTTACCCAACAAAGAAAAAAAAAAACAAAAAACTGGCAAAAATAACTCTTTGAAACATCAGCTGAAAGGAAACACTACAAACACTATGAAACATTAGACATTATAAAGAGTTGTTTTTTTTTTTTTTTTTTTT